CCTAACACAACCATCTTTCAAATCCTAATCTCTCATATTGCTTAGGATAATAGGTACACACTCCTGCAACCCAGCTATGAGAAGGGGCTTCATCATTTTTGTGGCCAGTGCTAGCCTTGAACTGAAACTTTTCCATTTTCAGACTTCTAAATAGCATGCATTATAGGCATATGTTACTAGACCTATCAATGGAGTATTTTTAAACTAAGGTATGTGTACTGCTCTTTAAAAATATTATGTTAATCCATACATCATAAACTATAATAAATTAGATACACAACCATGGTGTTCTGGAACCAAACTCAGTATTTCTAAGGTATGGCTATACAAGTTCAATAAATGTCTGTGAATGAATGAGTGAATGGAATAAATGTGAACTTGAAGTTCTATTCCTAGCCAGGCACTGGTGACCCACACCTGTAATCCTAGTTACTAAGGAGGCTGAGATCTGAGGATCATAGTTGGAAGCCAGCAGGAAAGTCCATGAGACTCTTACCTCCAACTAACTGCCAAAAAACTAGAAGTGGTACTGTGCCTCAAGAATGCTAGCCTTGAACACAAAAGCTCAGGAAAGGTACCCAGGCTCTGGATTTCAAGCCCCAGGGCCAGTATACACAAAGAAGAAAGGTTCTGGGTCTGGGAAGGTGGCTCAGTGGTAGAGCGCTTGCCTTGCATGTATGAGGCCCTGGGTTTGATTCCTCAGCACCACAGAAGCAGAAAAAGCCGGAAGTGGAGCTATGACTCTAGTGGTAGAGCGCTAGCCTTGAGCTGAAGATCTGAGGGACAGTACCCAGGCCAGAGTCCAGGCCGCACAACTGACAAAAAAAAAAAAAAGAAAAGTGCTATTTTTTCTCCTGGTGTTTTTGCATAGCCCCAAACGCAGGTATTTGCTAAAAACTTTATGTTTATCTTTTTAAAAATTAAATTTAAATTATTTAGACACTTTTGCAGTACTGAAGATTGAACTCAGGCTCTCATGCTTGCTAGGCAAGCATTCACCATTTAAGCACATTCTACATTTTTTTGTTATTGTTTTGTGTGTGTGTGTGTGTGTGTGTGTGTGTGTTAGTTTATTATCCAACTAATTTTCGCCTACACTGCAATCTTCTTTTTTTTTGGGTCCGGTCATGGGGCCTGAACTCTGGGCCTGGGCGCTGTCCCTCAGCTCTTCAGCTCAAGGCTAGCACTCTACCACTTGAGCTACAGCGCCACTTCCGGCTTTTTTTCTTTTTGCTGATGTGGTGCTGAGGAATCAAACCTAGGGCCTCATGCATGCAAAGCAAGCGCTCTACCACTGAGCCACCTTCCCAGCCTGCAATCTTCTTATCTACCTCGTGAGTGGCTGGAATTACAGACCTGAACCACCAAACCTGGTGTATATTCACCTTTTAAATCTCAAAGTTAAAGAAAAATATTTCATGGTGCTATTTGCTAATTATTTTTGTTTGGACAGATAATAATGTAGAAAGTTTAGCTAAATCTCATTCAATGTGCTTTACTTTGAAAATATTAGCCAGGCATTTTATTCCCTTTTTGAGAGCTTAATAATTTAATTCAAAGCATCTTCAGTTGTCAGAACACTAGCAGTCTGTGAAAAATATCGCGTTAACTGACTAGATTAAAAATTAATCATCTGTTTCCCTTGCTTTGTTTTACTAAACTCCCTATTATATTGATTTTTTTTAAAGTTCAGTGTGTTTTTTGTCATACTTTTAGTTGTTTGGGGGTCTTTTCTTCATAATGCAAAAACACAAGGTTATTGCACTGGTTAGCACAGATAATAGCTGTACTTTATGAGTTTTTTTTTGTTATTTGACTTTTTTGTTTTGTTTTGTTGGTACTGGGGCTTGAACTCAGGACCTGAGTGTTGTACCTTTTTTACTCCAGGCTGTTACTCTACCACTTGAACCACAGCTCCACTTTCAGCTTTATCATGGTTATTTGGACATAGGAGTCTCACAGACTTTCCTTCCCAGGCTGGCTTTGAACCATAATCCTCCCGAGTAGCTAGGATTACAGGCATAAGCCACCAGTACCTTCCTTAAAACTTTTGTAAGGATTCTTCTTCCAACCATTACTACTGCTCTCATCCAATATTGTTGGGGATTAAAGTAGGGCGGGGGGGAGACTCTTACCATTGCTGATTTGTTTTATATGGCAAATTACCAAACTTTTGTAGAAAGGAAGGAAAGGAGGGGGAGAGAGGGAGGGTTCAAAGAGTCACCATAAACTTAAAGGAACTACTTTCTCTGTATCTGCTAATCAAGGAACTGCCATATTCATTCAAGTCATCAAGGTTGCTCAAGCAACCTGGAGAAGAGTGAATGAACTCCAACCCAAGAAGACTGCCATCACTCCTGCTGCAAATTCTCCTGCATGCTAGTGGTCTTGTTATTTTAAGAGCTTTACCACCAATTTTCCTCCTCTAAGAAGTCCAATCATTTGCTCATACCCTGTACTCAGTAGAAGGGAAGAAGCCTTTCTGCTGCCACCCTAGCTCTACTGTTAGTCTACAATAGACTAGCCCCATAGTGGGCTTTCTTCTTCTTGAAGAGTGCCTCCTCATCCATCTCACCCAGCTCACCAGACAACTCAGTGTCTGAACAGGTGTTCTAAGTCATTGGTGCCAACCTCCAATTAGAAAATAGGAGGCCTAGACAAATCCTGTTCCTCTCTCACCTTTCCTAGTACTTAAAACTCTCCCCAGGAGCAGAATGATTAACCCCAAATATCCCCGCTGGTTGTCCAGCATGAAGCCAGATAAGGAATTAGTAACATCCTCTGCATCCTTACTCCTCAGGTTTGGTCCACAGACAAGCAGCATCAGCATCATCTGCGAACATGCTAGAGATGCAGCAGCCCGATCACTCCAGACTCGCTGAATCAGACTCTGATGTTTTTACAACAACCTCAGGATCTTCACAGATGCTGGTAAGACACATTAGCTGAAGGAGTGCCCCTCCATAACTGGGGATGTGATTATAATGGACTGAATGACTGCATGCCAAGTCCTCCAAACACTAAGGCAGAGTCTAAGGAATGGGGTCCCTGAAGGGGATCCTCCTGAAGACGCCTAGGGGATCTACCCAGCGCAGAGTAACCCGGTACTTCCTTTCTCAAATTCTTTTATTTGAAGGCTGATGAGTAGTGAAATGGAAGAAAGATTGAGCAACAAAAGTACTACCTTATCTAAGATCAAATATATCCTAGCCAGGCACTGGTGGCTCACACCTGTAATCCTAGCTACTCAGGAGACTAAGATCTGAGGATAATGGTTCAAAGCCAGCCTAGACAGGATAGTCCAAGAAACTCTTATCTCCAATTAACCATCAAAGAAACAGAAATATCGAGCTGTGGCTCAAAGTGGTAGAACATTAGTCTTGAGTAAAAGAGCTCAGGGACAGTCTCCAGGCCCCAAGTTCAAGCCCAGGACTAGCAGGAAAAAAATTCAGTCCATAAAAATTGCCAGGCACCCATGGCTGATGCCTGTAATCCCAAGTAACTCAGGAGTTTGGGATCTGAGGATCATGGTTTGAAGCTAGCCGGGTTAGAAAAGTATATGAGATTCTTATTTTCTTTCTTTTTTGGGGGTGGGGGGTCCGGTCGTGGGGCCTGAACTCTGGGTCTGGGCACTGTCCCTCAGCCCTTCAGCTCAAAGCTAGTGCTCTACCACTTGAGCCACAGCGCCACTTCCGGCTTTTTTCTTTTTGTTTATGTGGTGCTGAGGAATCGAACCCAGGGCCTCTAGCATGCAAGCCAAGCGCTCTACCACTGAGCCACCTTCCCAGCCCAAGACTCTTATTTTCAATAAACTACTCGGAAAAAGCTGGAAGAGGCACTATGACTCAAGTGGTAAAGAGCTAGCCTTGAACACAAAGAGGTTCTGGGACAGCATTCAGGCCATGAGTTCAAGCCCCAAGACTGGCAAAAATAATTGTGGGGGTAGCAACACAGGAACGGAACATGGCACCAGGTTAAGATATGCATTTATAAGAGTTAGACTTCCTGGGAACAAATCAGAGCAATGCTTGCTGCCATCTGTGTGACCATGACAAATAACCTCTGTGCATCAGTTTCCTTGCTTGATAACAATGACTGTGTACAACTGATGAGAAAGGTGAATGATGCTTGTAACACCTGACACATGATTACTAGTGTGAACTATCAGCGTCATATATACCCTATGTGTCAGTGTCATTAAACTAATATGGCCCCCAGAATATTTCCTCTCATGATCAACTTAGTGATCCATAGCCCAATGGAAATAAAGAATCCAATATGTATTAAAGTGAGAGATCCTATCTGAAAAGCAACCTAAAAGCTGAAGGAGCCAGGCACATGTGGCCCATGCCTGCAATTCTAGCTACTCAGGAGGCTGAGCTGTGAGAATTGAGGATCAAAGATGACACGGGCAGGTAAGCCCAGAAGACTCATCTCTAGTTAAACATCAAAAAGGTATGGCTAAAATGGCAGACCACAATCCTTGAGCAAAAGCCAACCAAGAGCATGAGGCCCTGAGTTCAACTCCCAATAGTGACATGCATACACATATACACATACACATAAGCAAAAGGCTTGGAGATATGGCTAAAGCAACAGAATGTTTACCTACCAAGCACAAGGCCCTGAGTTAAATCCCTAGTATCACCAAAACAAACCAATCAAACAAAACCACTGTGTTTTCTAGCCATGCTTTCATATTAATATGGTCACTGCATTTTCACTAGCTGGTACCACTGGTAGAAATATTTGCTCAGAGGAGACATTTCTCCAGCTGAGGTACTATAATAAAAAAGAAAGGTGGGGTATAAAACAGAACTCTTTAAAGTTGGTTATAGCATTTGATTTTTCATCACAGGATGCGATGAAATTTCTCTCTGGTTGTGTAGCCTTTCTGACTTACCTGTCAGAGGGGCTGAGGGCCCAGGAAAGAGCACCCCCTCCCTTCCCTTCCTTCATGCAGCAACCTCAGGCCTTATAGGACACGGACCCCTGCTTACCTGTCCGTTTTCTTGACCAAGATGGCCCTGAAGATGTGCTCGAGGGGTATCTTCTCCCGTGTGTGAGTCGGCTGCACGAAAGGGTGCAGGGCAGCCAGGGAGAAGCCCTGCTGGTAAAGCTCCAGGAGCTGGATAGGCAGGTCCCGCAGGGAGGTCAGCCTCACCGCCGAGGACCTGGGGAGCTCCGCTGGAGTGGAGAGGAGAGAAAGCATCACACACCTAACAGACCACCTTCCAACCAGACCACGCCCCCCTCCCCTCGGCTGGGGGAGGATCCTCTAGGTCTTCACTGTTTACAAGAGACTTTAAGTAGCCTACCATTTTCTAACCCCCTTCCCCAACCAAAGCATCAGTAACTGGGTGTTCTTAGGTGTTGTGTTTCTAGAGTCATCACTTTCCATCTCCAGGGACAGAAGGAGAAAAGGACAGAGGGGGATGGAATGACAGAAGAGATAAAGAGAAGAGAGAGAGAGGAGACAGAGAAGAGAGAGGGAAAAGAAAAAGATTGTTCAATTAAAAAGACAACATTTTATGACATGGGTGTAAATTCCATACTCTATAATGAACCCACTGCTTCTCCCCTACTTTAAAAATAGGAAAATGTAGGACAAAGTAGGAGAGGCACTAGAACTTATAGGCACAGACAGGAACTTCCTGAACAGAGTCCCAGGGTCACAGCAAATTAGAGAGAAACTCGACAAATGGAACTACATTAAAATAAAAAGTTTATGCACAGTAAAGACATAGCAACCAAGCTAGAAAGACAACCAACTAACTGGGAGAAGATATTTACCAGCAATATATCAGACAAAGGCCTAATATCCACTATTTACAAGGAACTAAAAAAAACTAATCCCTCCCAAATCTAACAAACTAATCATTAAATGGCCAACGGAGCTAAAGAGAGACTTCTCAGAAGAAGAGATAAAAATGGCAAAGAAACACATGAGGAAATGTTCATCATCCCTGGCCATAAAAGGAAATGCAAATAAAAACAACCCTGAGATACCACCTTACTCCAATCAGAATGGCCCACATCTTAAAGTCAGCCAACGACAAATGCTGGCAGGGATGCAGAGAAAGAGGAACCCTATTGCACTGCTGGTGGGAATGTAAACCAATACAACCACTTTGGAAAGAGTCTGGTGGTACCTCAGAAAACTAAACATAGACCTTCCCTACAACCCAGCCATACCACTCCTAGACATCTACCCTGAGCAACAGGAACCAGGATTCAAGGACACATGCACCTCCATGTTCATTGCAGCACTGTTCACAATAGCCAAGATATGGAAACAACCCAGATGCCCTACTACAGATGAATGGGTCCAAAAATTGTGACATCTATATACAATGGAATATTACAGAGCCATTAGAAAGAACAAAATAATGGCATTCACAGGGAAGTGGATAGAACTAGAACAAATCATATTGAGCAAAATAAGCCAAGATCAGAGAAACAAACGGCATAAGGTCTTCCTGATATGTGGATGTTAAATTCAAAATGCAACAAGATATGACAAAGTAAATAGGACTCAAGAAACAAAGGACCTTTCTTCTTAATTTGTCACATCATTTTTAAATGTTCTTGACCTTACATACAGTACATACATGTGCACATCTGAGGAAAGCTGAGAGGAGGGTACAGAATAAAAAAGACTGAATTCAACCCCGATACTGGCAAAAAAAAAACAACAAACCCTCAAAAAACATGTATCATTCCTGTATGAGTCAGACTAGTTTTCATTTTATCTTACACTCTAAAAGTGTCATTGTGATCCACTTAGTATTTCTCATGTATGGTTCGCTTTCTTTTGATTGATTTCTTATTTTTAAATATTAGGTGCCCATCAATCAATTTAAAAAAGGATATGACATTAAAACGGCCACTTCTCCACTCTCTACCCAACTCAAAATCCAGAGCATCACCTGTAACTTGTATCTACCTTGTACTGAGAAATTAATCTTCATTGTCACCTTCCCCCACCCAAAGGAGTCAAGTCTTGAGTCCTGTGTTTATCATTCCTTTAAGATAAATAGATAGATAGATAAATAAATAAATAAAATAGGAAAATGGGCAAAGCATACAAACATGCAGTTGTTGTTGTGTGTGTGTGTATGTGTGTGTAGTTATTCTTTGTTTGAAAGGACATTCAAAATTAACTCAACATTAGAACTGAACACATCAAAACAAGTAGTATTTTTCACCTACTGAACTGTTTTAAAATTTGAATTTCAAATTTACTGGTTTTTGAGAAGAGCTGACAAGGTTCAAAAGTCAAAGGGTAGAAATTAGCATGCGGTGAGAAGTGTACAGCACAACAGATTCCCGGCCTCTTGCCTTTTTCCTTAAAGGCAGCGAGTAATCTCCATTTTTGTACACACATTGACAGTTCCTGAATTCATACACAATAGGCCTGAACCTCTCTCTCCTTTCACACAAATGCAGTATAGCATCACATACTTGCTTTTTATTGATTAGCAGTGGGCTTTACTCACAGACTGTCTGTATCTTAGCAGCCACACAGAACTGGGCTTGACTCATTTCCCACAAAACACTTATACATTATATCACAGAGCATACAAACATAGGCTTCTATAAAGCTTTGAGAAAAATTATCCTTCCTGAGCTAGTACTCATAGCTCATTCCTATAATCCTAGTTATTCAGGAGGTTGAGATCCAGAGGCTCATGGTTCAAGGCCAGCCTGAAGAGAAGAGTCCATGAGACTTCATATTCAAAAATAACCAGCAAAAAGCTGGGTTAGACGTGTGGTTCAAGTGGGAGAGCATCAGCCAAACAAGTGCATGACTGAATTCAAACCCTGATACTGGCAAAAACAAACAAACAAAAAACCATATCATTCCTGTATGACTTCACACATGCACATATACGGCATATTTAAAACATGAATTCCTAAAGTCAAGTATTACGGTAGTATACACCTTTTCTCTCAGCACTCAAGAGGCTGAGGTAACAAGGTCACGAGTTCAAAGCCAGACTGAGCTGCACCAAAAATAGGTCTATAAAAATAACTGAATTCTTAGTTGTAGAATTGCTGAGTAATAAATAACTTCTTCAGATATACCCGGATTTCCTCCGAATAGTAGTATGGATTTATTTGCCATTGGTGACATAAAAAAATGTTTCCCGTACCCTGGATAAAATTTCTCATAATAAAAAAATCCCCATGAAGTTGCAACTTATCTTCTCATCACATAATTTGTATTAAACATTTCATATTTAAGTGCTGCACAACCTTTTCTGTGAACTGAGTATCTTTGCCTCATTTTCTTATGGGTTTACAGGAACTGTTTTTAATATTAAAGAATTTAGTTTAAACAATGATACCAGTTGTAAATATGCTTCCAAAATTTGCCTTTTACCTTCTGCTTTTGCATAAGGTGCGCTTTGCCAAGCACAATTTCTTTATGAAGTTGCATTTATCTACCTTATTTTCAATGGCTTCTGAGTGTTATGTTATTATAACAGAAAGAATTATAAAACCTCTTCCTGTGAGTTCTTATACATACTTCACAATTTTTTTTCTGTGTCCTGGTTTTGAATTTTTCTCATGTAAAGCATGCAATGTGAATTCAATCACCCTAGATTTTGTCCACTCCTCTGTGACTTGAGACTTTTATCCCATATCAATGAATATATTTTTGTTTATGCCTGTAATATTATTTTGTATAACATTACTTTTATTATATTTTGTATCTGTTTAGGCTATTTCTTGAATTTCCCTATCTTCTCGTTTATCCTCTAAATCCTCTTGTCTAATTTGTTTTTCCAGATCACATTGGAAAATCATTCTTCAGGCTCTTCTTTAATCCCCTCAAAAACAGTGATATTTTTCTCGCTTGTGTTCACAGTACTGCTCCCGTGAGAGAAAACAGACACTGTCCAGTGTGCATTAAATTCCCATCCAAGAACATTGCCGAACTTCGATGTACTCAGCTCATCTTCTTTGGAGACCCCAGGGAGCATGCTCAAGTGTTTTCATTTGGATATTATGTGTTAATCAAGTTTATTCATTCATAGTCATTGTATCATCTTATTTCTATAAGAATGATTGAGCTTCTTTTTTTTTTTCTTTTGTTACTCCTATCATACTCATTGGGAGGAGCTGGCATGCCCTTCACATCTGGAAGGAGCTAGCACCAATGGAGGGCTGATGTCTTCAAAGTCCAAATGCACATGGCCTCTTTCTACCATCCCCTCTTCCACAATGACACCTGGCTGGATGAGAAAGTGCCTTTTAAGACATATGGACAAAGAACAGTCATATGGATAGCAACCTCAACTTGTGGAAGAACAGGGAGGCAGGACACCCATGTGGGCACCAGGGTGGCCTCCCTAGAAGATAGCGCCTGCCTGCCCAGGCTCCTCCCAGCCTACCTGAGCCTAGACTCTCTCCTTGGCTTCCTATCTGTCTCCAAACTGTCTCATGGAGCCAAGAGCTTATCTAAACACCATCTACCTTCTCCAATGCTAACAGCCCTGCTCCATTCTTAATACACAGATGAACCTTCTGTGCATTATCTACATTTACCCCCAGATCTGTCACAGCACACCTGGCATGTGTGTCCCTACTATTGGGCGACCCCAGCAGTAGGTGGCTTCACTTCATACCAAGATATAACAAAACTGTTTCTAATCAGAGTAAATGGCTTGAGAAATGGGAAGGCAGTTGAGAAGGTAGATCACTGACTGACTGGATACTGAGCGAGTGTAGTGCAGGGAACAATGGTAACGTGACCACATATTACGAAAATCCAGCTGGACACCAGTGGCTCATACTTGTAATCCTAGTTACTCACGAGGCTGAGATCTAAGGACTGCAGTTGGAAACCAGCCCAGGCAAGAAAGTCTGGGAGACTCTTATCGCCTATTAAACACCAAAAAGCTGGGGGTGAAGCTGTGGCTCAAGTGATAAGAATCCTGGCCTTGAACACAAAAGTTCAGGGACAGCACACAGGCCTTGAGTTCAAGCCTTAGGACCAGCACCCCAACCAAAAAAAAATCCAACTTATTAAATGCATATCAAGACATGCACGTACAAATGAAGACACTAGATATGCACTACAGTTTTGCTCTATCAGCAGAAACCTAGACCCAAAGAATTCTTCTTTGATAAGTGGGAAATCACAACAACAAATCCATAAACACTAAGAAAGTTAAGTC